CCCAGCCTTCATCATGTGTCCATGCTCAGCTTCCTAATTCTTTCTGGTTTTGATGGTATTTCAGGACTTGGTTTAAAGGCTATTCATTGTAGCCAACTTCCCTTCCCCATTGAAACAGGCCACCCTATTTCACTCTGTTATAATTTCGCTGTTTTCTTGTTTAAATAATGATCACAACTTTAAATGCATTATAATTTGTCATTATGTGAGATTTCAATTTCAGGGTTCAGTGGTGTTCCTGAAACAAGTTACATCCTCAGGTTGGGCAGCCCGAGGACCCGCCCCCACATGGCATTTTAAGGCAGACTAGAAAGTGAAGCTTCAACAAACGGTTTACAAAAATCCCTTGGGACATGCTTGAGCTGCACTTGGAAAATTTTGGTGACCTCAAGTCCCGCTGGGTGTAATAAGAGCACGTGTCCCCTTGAGGACTAACCCACGCTATTCTGAGCTGATTCGCCACTAGACAATGCCCCAGACTGCTCACGGAGTCCTTAAAGACCTCTTGTCAGGGTCCCTGAGGAGTAGCTTCCAGCTCAGCTCTCAGAGGTCTGGGGCTCCCCCTGCTGTGGATCATGCTGCTCTGGACTTGAGGAGAGAGGGAAATATGGCGAAATGCTGGACACACTCATGGGGTCGCCAGGCTCTCTATGTCTTTGGGTTCTTGGTCTGGAATTGAAGCATTTGTATGTTTGAAGCTACTCATACTGTTCTTTACTCCTGACAATGATTACAAGTGTCACCAATGCAATAGGTCTACATTGGGGTGACCTCAGTACATCTGCTAGGTTTAACGTTTATTGTTTATGATCCCAGGCTCCACGGGGAACATTGTACTGACCCGTTTTCTAGCCTCTGTGATCGCATCTCCAGGAGAGTTGGCCACCATATCCTGCAGGGCCAGTCGGAGAGTCAGTGTTATTTTGGGCATTATTATCCTTGTTAACTGGTGTAAACAGAAGCCAGGACAGCCTCCCAAACTCCTGATCTGTGCAGCAACCCGTCGAGCACCTGGAGTCCCAGCCAGATTCCGCGGCAGTGGTTCTGGGACTGATTTCACCCTCACAATCCATCCCGTGGAGGCTGATGATGCTGAAGAGGATTTCTGCCAGCACAGTAAAGAGGATCCTCCTACAGAGCTCCAGGTCTCAGCCAGCACCTCCCCAGGCGGCTGCTCACTGAGCTCCGCCCTGCCAGGTGCTCCGCCCTGCCAGGTGCTCCTCTCCACCTGGGCACCTCCACCCGGGGTCTCTAGGCTCATTTCAACAAATGAGTAACATACAGAAAAATTTTAAACCCGATTGTGTGTCTCTGTGTGTGCATCTCCCACAGAAGCGGTTTTATAATTAATTAATTATTAAAAAAACTCAATTAGGACCTCTCAGACAGCATGTATTACTCAGTGCATTTCTGGATGCAAAAGGCTTTCTTTCTCCAGGGAAGAGTTTTAAATTTGAAGGAAAAATTCCCAGTAATTTCAAAGAAAAAGAGCTCTGATCAGCTGAGATTGTTAGCTGTATATCATTCAGACAAAGGCTCATAGTCTCACCTTAATCTTGATTTTTTTTTAACCACCCTACTTTCTTAAACTGACATAAAAATCCCTTCATAGTTATTTAGAAAACTAAGGATCTTTGTAGTTATCTTTTCTCCTTTGACTCAGATTTCTCCATTTCTGTGTTTTCCAAAAGCATTACTCTTTGATGAATTTTGGGCTGGTATGTTAAGTAACTTGCCCTAAGTCAAACATCCAGCTGAAGGAAGACTCAGAATGTGGAAACTTTAGGTCCACGAATGATAAATGCTAAGGAGGCTGTGGAGAAAAGGGAACCCTCCTACGCTGTTGGTGGGAATGCAGTTTGGTGCAGCCATTATGGAAGAGTATGGAGATTTCCCCAAAAACTAAAAACAGACTTACCATATGATCCAGCCATCCCACTCCTGGGCATATATCCAGAGGGAATCTTAATTCAAAAAGATACATGCACCCCAATGTTCACAGCGGTGCTATTTACAATAGCGGAGACATGGAAACATCCTAAATGTCCATCGACAGATGACTGGATAAAGAAGTTGTGGTATATTTACATAAGGAATACTACTTAGCCATAAAAAGAATAAAATAATGCCATTTGCAACAACATGGATAGACCTGGAGATTGTCATGCTAAGTGAAGTAAGCCAGAAAGAGAAAGGAAAATACCATATGAGATCACTTACATATGAAATCTAAAAAAAAAAAGACGAACTTCTTTACAAAACAGAAACAGACTCACAGACATAGAAAACAAACTTATGGTTACCAGGAAGGGAATGGGATGGGAAGGGACAAATTGGGAATTCAAGGTTTGCATATACTAACTACTGTATATGAAATAAACAACAAGTTCATCCTGTGTAGCACAGGGAACTATATTCAATACCTTGTAGTAACTTATGGTGCAAAAGAAAGTATATTCATATGGCATCTCATTTAATGAGAAAGATGCTCTTGGCAGGTGATGATTGCTGACCCAGGGACTGTTTTCAGGGATCATTTTAAAATTCTCGCTCATTTAATGGAAGAACTAAATGTAAAGAACCAGGTATATAATCCTCAAAACGACTTTGGGGTGTGATGAAAACTAGAAAATACATCCCTCCAAGCTTCAAGAAGGAGAAACGTGTTCCTGTTAAACATGCACGTGGCCTTGACTCCAGGCGCCGGGTCACAGTCTCTGACCTCTCTCCCTTTATTTAAAAAAATATTCACAGCAACTTCAATTTTAATAACTAAAATCACTAAATAAGACAAATGTCCATCAATAGATTAATGGATAATCAAATTGTAGTATATTATGTGATTTTGTTGATTGAAGTACAGTCTGACCTTCTCTTTTAAACACCCTAAACCAGCCGCCATCTGCCTCTGCGTCTTTGTGCTGCCTTCTCTGCTTTGCGGGTCCTTCTGGGCGCTCACTTCTTCTCCCGGAGCCTCATAAATACGACGTTCCCTCCGGCCTGAGGAGCAGCGGGCGGGTCACACAGGGAGCTGTCACCAGCTCTGCTCCTGGGGCTCCTGGGGCTCTGCACCGCAGCTGAGCCCTCCGGACAATGGAATGTGCAGACAGGAGGTTTGTTTTAAGCTGGGAACATTCAATTGTATTTAGTATTAAACACACCCGCTGAAGGAGCGTTGTTCATGTTCTCACTGAGAGTCTCAGAGCGCATTTTACGAAGTCTTACACTTCCAGGGGGAAATGCAGGGAGGGAGAGCCACGGCATCCTGTTTGCCTCCATTCTCTTCTCTTTTTTGTTTAGTCTCAGGTCCTTACGGTGACACTGGGCCACCCAGTCCCCGGACCCTCTGTCCGGAGCTCCCGGAGGGAGGACCGCCGTCACCCGCAGGGTCAGTGACAGTGCCAACACGCGTGGAGCAAACAACCTGTCTAAACTGGTTCCAGCTGAAACGTGGAAAAGCTAAGCCACTCATTTCCCAGTTTCCAAGTCACTAGCTGGGGCGTCACGGCGGTTCAGTGGCAACGGGTCCCACAGAGATGTCTCCCTCCCCATCAGCAGCCTGGAGGCCGCAGACGCTGCCCTCTAGTGCTGCGGGCAGGTCGCCTCCCTCCCTCCGCAGCGATGCCGCCCCGCCGGGAGCTGCGGGGGGCCCGGCCCGCGAGCCCCCGCGCCTCTGCTCCCCCTGCGGCGCCTGCCCGGGGCGTGGCACGCGTCCTCCTTCGGTGGCCATTTAAACGCAGCAAAGACAGGAGCCCCCAGGTCGAGAAGCCTCCAGTCCTGGGCTTCAGTCAAGGACCACACACTGCCATTCTCAGCACTCCTGAAATGTTCCTTTTGTTACTGCCTTACATTTACTGCCAGTGGAATGAAGGTGGGAAAAACTCCCTTGTTTCAAAAAGTATCAAGTTGTAAGTTATGTGTAATGCACAGGTAGAGGGTGATAAACACGTTTTGTTTCTAATTTAATAAAGGCTGAAAACAGCAAAGCAAAAATTGTGAAAAGCACTTGTTTTCTAGAGACTTCGGGGCACAATTTTCCATATTAAAAAGTTTCTGTAACCCATTCACAGTCATTATGTTTAAATCCCAAACTTGACGTCAGTAGTCATAAGCAAAGAAGGAAATGCTCCATTTTTGTAGCTAATTGATTTTGTGGTCCAGCATCCAAAATGCTAATTTTCTATCATTTCATTATTTTGTTGTCTAGTATAACAAAATATATGGAGACAGGGTGGCTTCACCCCTGCTGTACGAGCCCTGACGCCACATCCCAGATGAAACAGGGGTGATCATCTCCGATTTTATTACATCAGGAGAGACATTGTCTCGTCTGTGCTGCTGGGGCTGAGGAGGGAGAGGGAGTTCAGGTGACAAGGAGGCTTCTACCAAAACCTTCCAGTGCCCTTCAAACATGGGTGCACCTGAGAAAGGCTTTCAGCAGATGGAGGAACCCGGAGGAGCAGCTGGGGCAGCCCAGCCTCACATGTCTGCCTCCCCTGGTGGTTTGTGTTACGGCCTGGAACACTGTGGGAGGGTAACTTATGCTGCAGACAGTAATAAGTTCCGGCATCTTCAGCCTCCAGGCCGCTGATGGTGAGGGTGAAACTTGTCCCTGATCCACTGCCGCTGAACCTGGAAGGGACCCCGGTTTGCAGTCTGGATGCACCATAGATCAGGAGCTTAGGAGCTTGCCCTGGTTTCTGCTGATACCAGGCTAAGTAACTGCTGATGCTCTGACTGGCCTGGCAGGTGATGGTGACTCTGTCTCCCAGAGATGCAGACAGGGAGGAGGGAGACTGGGTCACCTGGGTAGCACACCTGGCACCTGAGATGGGAAACATAAAAACACACATATCCACACGATTAATCACGTTACAAGAAGACTTCCCTGAAGGGCCAGGAGGTACTGACCACCCAGAGCTGAGTAATTCCCAGTGTCTCCAACCTTACCTGGGAGCCAGAGCAGCAGGAGGCCCAGGAGATGCGCAGGGACCTTCATGTCCATGCTAAGACCTGACTGGGACTGGTTCCTGCACAGGGTGTGTTTGGACGATTAATAAGCGTCCCGGGCGGTGGGCTGTGCTCTGGGACCAGGCAAATCAGCAGGGGGCGGGGCGGGGCGGGGCACAGCTGCAGGGCTGGCCTCCATCAGTGACAGCGCAGGTGCAGGGTCCCCCAGGTGTCTCAGGTCCGACCAGGGCAGCACACATCAGCCTGCAGAGTGTGTGTTTCTTCCGAAAGGCCACAGGATACAGTCAGCCTACTGTCCTATGGTTAGAGTGGGTTTTTGTTTTTCTCCCTTCAAAGTTTAAAACCTGCTTTTCCTGTTGTCTCTCCAGCTGAGGCAGGGCCTTGCAGGTGTGACCCAACACCAAAAATGCAAGAAATTTTCTAACCCCTTTTGATTTAGAACCTCTGGATATCACTGAGCCCAGAGAGGCTTTCTCTTTGACTCTCTGATGCTCTTGGTGAGGTAAATGATCAGCATGACCAACTAGAGGTGCTATGAAGTCGGGGAACGATAATATTATATGCACAACCATGATTTGAAAAGAAAGGACCAGACACTGGGGATCTGTCATCACTAACCTGTCACCTCCAGCTGAGCATTTATGAACGTGCTGCCCCCCCATTTCCATCAAGGCCATTCGAAGTCAGAACTTTTCTGTCTCCACGTCTGGGAAGCATCAGCCAGCTCCGTAGCTCTGTTTGTCATCACACACATCCCTGCTGGATGTTCCCTGCCCTCCACGTGTTATCGCCCATGTGTTCCACCCCCTCTTTACCCAGGATGTTCTTCTTTAGAAGCTGGCGTCCTCCTTGGACCAAATACTCATGTATGTCCATTTTGTTCCCCCAATCGGCATATTCTACCCCTCCACACGAGTCTTTCCCAGATCCGAAGAGAACAACGTTTTCAATGGTTGGACTCAGGACATTAGGGCCAAAGCCTGGTGAGGATGCAACCCTGCAGGAAGGTAAAAGCGGAGGAGCTGTGTGGGGTTGGCGCCCACAATATGGGAGGGGCATCCGCGTGGGGTGGCGCTGGATATGCAGCAAGGGTCACTGGAGCTGGAGCGAGGGGCAGCGGCGCTGGATTCCCAGCTTTGGTGTGCGAGCTGCTGGGGGAGTCGCAGAGGACCCTCACATGCGTGGGGGCCCCCGGGGCAGGAGTCAGTGCCCAGACGGAGTGAGGAGTGCACCCATGCAGGGGACACAAGGATGCTGGTGGCTATGCAAAGGCTATCAGAGCTGGAGCAATGTGTGTGCATTAAAAATATTTGGAGTCAAATTGTCACTGTTAGATGACCTGGAAAGCTGACAGTTAACGAGGCTGCAGTTGACTTTCTTTCTCCAAGGAACACAAGTGTTAAAATGCACTGCTTTGTCCTCCCCCTGCCCTTCTTCTGAAAGTTCTATTTCTTTCTTAAACCTCATTTAATATTTTTGGGTGGGAGGACGTAAGTAGGTTTATTCATCTATCTGTTTATGTATTACTTTTTTTTTTAAATGAAGTACTGGGGATTGAACCCAGGACCTTAAGCACGCTAAGCCCTCACTCTACCCCTGAGCTACACCCTCCACCCTGCTCCTCCTTCGCCTGACTCTGTTCACGACATGGGACTAGGAGACACACTAAGTGCACCTTCATTCATCGCCCCATGCAGCCTGAGTAAGGACATTACTTCAGGGGCGGGACCTCAGAGGGAGAAGGGCAGGGACAGTAGCAGAAATCTTGTTTGTTTATCATCTGTCCCTGCCATTAAAATGAAAGCTGTGTGAAGCCAAGGGCTCTAGCGGAGTTATTCCAAACGCCCCATGCCTAGGAGAGCTCACCATATTTTTATTTGTGTAATTCTATAACTATATTTGATTTGGAGAAGGAATAAACTCAGCAGGGCTTGAGAATTGAGGCTATTCCACGTGTTACCCCCAGGAGGCGCTGTGACACCTGAGGTCACTTAGAGAAAGAAATTTGAGGGGCTTTAAAATGATACTTGAGAAACTAACTGATTGACTTAAAGTTGAGTGACAAGGTTGATTGGTTCCCTGACACAGCCTTGTGGTGAGGGAAAGATGAGAGCTATGATTTTGGATGTACTGAGGTGTGTATGAGATGTCCAAGAGGGACTTCAAAGATGAGTTTTAAAATTCAAAAGAGAATCTGAGCTAGAGATACGAATGTGTTCACTCTGCCCTCCTCCTGTTCAGCGACGTGAATATATTGCATATACTGACACCACGTATACATGCTTTAAATAAGTTCTGTACACATACTCACAATTACATTTTTTAATATAAGTTAATTTCTGTTTTTGAGTCTCCTTGAGCTAGTTTGAAAAATTGGAGTTGACATTAAGAAAATTTTCCATTTTGGAATTTCGCTGAACTGTATTGAAAAATCATAGTGGCAAGTCGGTTTCTGGCCTCTGGTCGGCATACGCTCACACTTCCTGGGGAGCTGATATTTTTGTCTCCTTTTCACTATTTGTCGCCACAGCTCAGTGCACAGGCACTTTAATTTCATGCCCTGGTGCTTTGCATAGGCCCCCGGAGTCCTAGGCTGGCTGCTCAGAGCTCTTATTAAAGGGGTTTCCTGGAGACACAGCTTGAGTGCACCAGACAGGTGAGCAGCAGCAAGATGGGGCCACAGCCACGCCTGCTCACCTTCCTGATGCTCTGGGTCTCAGGTGAGAGTTTAGAGGAGAGATGCCTTTATAAAGACTAAAAAAATGATTTTACCATGTACAGTGAAATGAGCCATTTAACCTAAAATACTGGTTATTTATGATAATAATAAACCCTATGTTTCTTAGACATATATTTTAATATAGGAATAATGCAATGTATGGTCACTGTTATGATTGCAGGTGTCTGTGGGGACATCGTGATGACCCAGTCTCCCAGCTCCGTGACTGCATCTGTAGGAGAGAAGGTCACTATCAACTGTAAGTCCAGCCAGAGTGTGGTATCAGGCTCTAACCAGAAAAGCTACTTAAACTGGTACCAGCAGAGACCTGGACAGTCTCCTAGGCTGCTCATCTACTATGCGTCCACCCAGGAATTGGGGATCCCTGATCGATTCAGCGGCAGTGGGTCCACAACAGATTTCACTCTCACGATCAGCAGTGTCCAGCCTGAAGATGCGGCAGTGTATTACTGCCAGCAGGCTTATAGCGCTCCATCCACAGTGATTCAGCCTCGAACAAAAACCTCCTCCCCAGGGCCACGGGTCAGTGAGTGTTTGCCCCACCGCGCCAGCTGCTGCTTTCTTGCTCAGCCCTGCGTCTCTCTTAGCTGTAGGAGAGGCTGTGTCTCCTCTACATTGTTCCCGAATTTTTGCATCATCTACGTCTGTGTCGCTGTCCATACAGATAGATTTATATTATTGAGCCAATCACAGCTTCTACTGTATCTTGCGGAGAAGGGACACGTGTGCTTCACGCCCTGAGGCATCAGCTCTCAGCCCTGGGCCTTGTAACCTTGAATTTTATTCTATCTCCCTGCGCCCATCAGTTTCTGGCCTTGGGAGCCGCTCAAGGTTCACTGCTCAGTTTCCTGTTATCAGTCGCTTCCCCATCAGACCTTCGTCTGCTTCTCTGACTCGTCTCCTCCCACCTGGCTGTTTGGTCAGCATCTTGTTTTCTGATTTTCTGCATTTTGACCTCATGGTTATTGTCTCAGAACTGGGTTCTCTCCTCCATTCCAGGACTCTAGGTCACACTTGCTTTCCCAATGCCATGCTCACGTTCTGTTTCCTCTTTGTCCGTCTTTTCTCCACTTACAGCCCAAGGTGCTTTACATCCCCGACAGCGGCCATCCTTGTTAACTCTGCAAATGTGAGCAGCCAGCTCTGTGCCTTTGATCCAGTAGTCACTGATTATCTACTGAGTTTAAAAAATAAAATCCAGTGGATAGCTTTACACCCTTGTCCTGTGTGGCCACGGGCCCCCTCCGTTGCCTGGCTATGGGGCATTTGGTTTACAACTGCACACACTTCAGGGAGAATTAGGATGATTTTAATTCGCCTCTCCCTTCTGCCGTGTCTGGCTGCTCAGAGCTCACTGGAATCCTCTATTTTTCCTGCTGCTTCTGTCACCACAAGGCTGTTGTGGGAGACACAGCCATACCCGGGAGGTACCCGGGAGGTACCCCGGGGGCCAGGGCATGTGACGGGACAGATCTTTCCGCAGCAACCTAGGCCCCTGCGATCTCCAGCGCCTCCTCTTTCACAGACTCGGGGAATCTGCTGTGCCTCCTTTCCAGACAATCAACACGTGTGCGCAGCTGGGTCATCCCACAGAGGGAGGTGTGCATTGAGGGCTGGACCATTTCGGGAGGATCATGTGTACCTTGCATGCAGTAACAAACTCCAACATCACCATTCTGTGCCCTGCTGATTTTCAGCATAAAATCTCTCCATGACCCACTGCCCCTGAACCTGTCTGGGACCCCAGAGACCCGTTTGTAGACAAATGTGGAGTCTGTGGGTAGATGACATGCTTGTGAGATTTAAATTTCTTCCCTGTCTTATGTTTTTCAAACTGTGATTGTTTTCCACCTTCAAGATAGTGGGTGGAGTGATTCAGCTTGTGACGGTCTGAGGATTTCTACCAGAGAGATTAGGGAAAGATCTGGCCCACAGACCACCCTCTTCTTGAGAACTGGACGCTGTCTACGGGCAGTGGGACCTGCAATGAGGCTGTGAGCTCAGCAGTGAGATGAGGGCAAGGGCAGGCCTATGGGCTTGCTTCCTGGAGAAGAAGTGGCCATTCTTCCAGAGGCCAGGGATGCTGAGAGCTGCAGGGAGGGTCAGCGTGGAGGCATCTGTGAGCCGCATCAGTCATGGTGACCATGACACTGGTTACCCAACAACTGTACACAGATGCCTGTGTGTGGTCCAGTCATGGAGACAGAGGGCAGGGCCACGATCCGAGGATGACTAGCATGCGGTTCACTTGGCACTCTGCAGTTTCAAGTATGATCCTAGGGGATCCATATTAGAAGAGAAAAGGGGCCCAAGCTTATGACTCTTAATTTGATATTGAAAGACATCTCTTCTGTTAATTTTTCTATCCTGGATGTAGCTACGGGTATAAATCTAGCCAAAGCCATTGTTTTCATTGTCCTGTTAGTCACTGACATTCTGTGTCCACAACGCTTGACAAGTTGGAAAGTTAGACCACGCCGATCCTTTCTGTTAAGCCAGGTGGTGACTGCAGACGTGAGTACATGTCAAATCCCGTCTACAGGCCTTCAAACTATGACCGCTGCCTGGGGAGACCTGCAGGTTTGTACTGATGCCTTTCTGCAAGAGGGGGCACCTTGATCTAGGTCCCCTGATGCCGGTCAATGACTGGATCACATTCTTTCCCTTGGTACAGGGACCTCTCACCGCAGCCCTTTTGAACACACTTTCTTGGTGTGAATTATTTCCCCAGACCTGTACCTTGCTTGGGACAGTATGTGACAGAGGGAACTTGCTCTCAGCTGAATAAGCATCAATTGTGTCATTTTTGAGTCTTGCATTTGTGTATTTGCCCAGTGACCCTGGAGACTGCTGGGAGAAGGGGCAGCAGGAGGAGCTGTGATGTGATTCCTGGATGCTAAGGGCAAGCAATGAGATGGGTACGGAAGAGATGGTGGTGCTGGTGGTGGTGGTGGTGCCTGTCATCTGGCTGAGCTTCTGGCCGTTATCAGCAGAGACACAGTCAGAGCCCCTCCTGACATCTCAGTGGTGTGTGTGCTCCTTTTGTGGCCACAGGTGGAGAAAACATCCTGAGGTTTTTTCCTGTTATTTGGCAGTGTCATTTCCACACTCATCTGTCCGTCTTTCTTGCACGTTTTCAAACGTGTTTTACTTCTGACACCTGTAAGGGGTCATCATTGGTTTCCAGATTCTATGCAAGAGTGGGGCCACGTTCAACATGACGTCTGGTTTCCAGTCCGATGTCAGTGCTCTTTGAATTGGGATTTCCCCACCATCTCTGGAATCTAAAGCCTGTGGAGGTTAAACAATGTTTTGCTGCTCAAAACTCCATTTAGTGCTGGGCAATATATGTCTCCAACAAAACACACACATGCACACATGCACACACAAGAGAAAAACCCTATAGATTAGACTCTATAAATATCAAGAATTTCTTTGCAAGGACATCATTAAGAACTAAGTAGAACTGGGAGGTGATGTTCCAAGGACTGTTTCTGACAAAAGATTTATTTTAAAAATATCTAAACAGCTCCTCAAAAAAGGCAAAGTACAATTGGAACAAGCACGTCCCAAGAAAGAATGTCTCCAAATAGCTGCGAGGAAATGAGGAGCATACGGGGAGCTCCTCACTGTCATCACACACCAAGGAAACGTAAGTTCTACCACAACAGCACTTCAAGACCTACCGGCATGAACACGAAATAGGAGCCTGACAGTGCCAAGCACTGAAAAGGGTTGGAAGCAACTGGAACTTTTATGCGAGGTTGGTCGAGTGTAAGATGTTCACCATTTTGGAAAACTATTTGACATTGTTTATTAAAGTCCAACCTATGCCAACCTGAGGTCACTTCCATTCCTAGGAAAGTACCTAAGAAAACTGAGGACCTAAGTGCACAACACCGATTGCAAGAATGGCCTTTAAAACTTTGTTAATAGGAGCCTCAAAATGAAAACAACTCACTAATTGAAGAATGACAAATTGTGATATATATATATATATATATATAGTGATTATTTTGCACTAAAAAGGAACAGATTATGGCCACACTGACAACACAGATGAAGTAAAAAAAATATGCTGATCAAAAGCAACAAGACATCAACCAGTATATACTGTATGATTCTATTTCTATGAAGTTTGGGGACAGAGAAAATCAGATCGACATGGATAGAAAACGGAGCGGTGGTGGCCTTTGATGGTCACGGATGGGGCATGGAACTGACAGGAAAGGAGGATGATGGAGCCTCTGGGATGCTGGAGACAGTCTGTATCTTGAGCTGGGAGGTGGTTGGAGAGTAATGTGTATATGTTTGTGTTCACCCAGGTGTACGCTAGAAATTCACTTTATATCCAGCAAATGTACTTTACTGGGTTTAGTTGTACGGACTTTTTTTTTTAAAATGAATGAATGAATTAGTGATGGAGTCAGATTAACCGATTCTTTTTCCATCTTCTTCCTTTATAAGCACTGGGATCTTGAGTAACGTAAGCTCTGAATACTTCTGACTTCTCATCGTTAGATAATTGTGAGATTAATCGCACCAGGGGAGTGAGCCATAAGTACAGTGTTCAACACACAGTCAGTCCTTATAACTCATTAGATGGCAGTTGCTGGTGGTGTCTATTATTGCTGTTAGTCATAGTGTCAGGAGCAGTGGTCACAGTCATAGTTCCTTGAATACACACTCTCTTTTGTTTGGGTTCAGTTCTTTGTCTTTAAAGACGTTTCTCAGAGAAGAGATTCAAAGGCCATGTTGTGGATAAACTCCTTTGCAGACCTGAAGCAGAAATCTCATTTTTAGAATTCGTTGAGTTGAAGTTTGGGGCTTTTATGTCGTCAACAAAGGATGCTTTCAAAGGTCTGAAGTCCCAATGCAAGGCATCATCCTCCCTGCAGACCCTCCTCACAGTAAACCCCGGCCCCTGAGCCGAGCACAGGGTGAGGGCAGCTGTGGAAGCCCCGCCCTCAGCACACACCCGGCCTGGGAGGCGGTTTTTGTTCAGGGCTGTAACACTGTGGGAGGAACCGTGTAATCATGAAAGCAGTAATAACTGGCAGTGTCATCAGCCTCTACATTGTTGATTGTGAGAATGAATTGTGTCCCAGACTGAAGCCCAACAAACCTGTCTGGGACACCAGAATAACGGTCATCAGTGTCGTAGATGAGCAGCCTAGGAGCCTGGCCTGGTTTCTGCTGATACCAGCTCACGTAATCACTGACGCTCTCACTGGCCGTGCAGGTGATGGAGATGCTCTCCCTTAGGGACACAGACAGGATGGCTGGAGTCTGGGTCAGCTCAGCGCTCCCGCTGGCAGCTGAGAAGGAAGCAAAACGTCAAGTCACCATCGTTACCTAAACTCCAAGCCACAGTCCTCCCAGCAGGTTTAGTTGCACTTGGGTGTCCGAGGGGAGATTAAGGGCAGAGACCCGCAGAGACCCTGGGGAGGATCTGCCCATTAGGGGCTGAGGACTCCCATCGTCTTGGGGATGCTCCCTGCACACCCCTCCTCACCTGGGAGCCAGAGGAACAGAAGGCAGGAGAGCTGAGTCAGGACACCCATGTTCAATGCAGGTCCTCCCTGAGGCTCTTTCTTGTTTTTTTCCCCCAAGCGTCACTAAGCAGCCTACTTATGAGGACCACGAAGAGCAGACATGGGCTCTGGGGACAGACATGCAAATCAGCGCGGGGATGGATGCTCGTGGCCTCGCAGGTGCAGAAGCAGGCCTGCTGGAGGGCGGAGTGCCTCCTGGGAGGTCACACCAGTGCGGCTTCACAATTAGTCCCAGAGGAGTTCCTCCCTGGTGTCTCTGAGATAAATATTTTGTGGACCTTGGTTGTCCTCAGGGTCTAAAAGCTTCTAATTGTAATAGGGGTTCTTCCTTCTAAAAATGTGGAAAGAAGTTAGATGACTCTCCAAGACTTAAACTGTAATATGCACATACCACGGTCCCTGTGAATTTCAGGAAATGTCACGCTCTGGAGATGGGTGTGGACTATGGGTTCCATCTTGATTTGTTACTTAGAGTAGACAGCGTCGTCCACGTGGAAATAAAAAGAAGGAAAACCTGTCTTTGGAGGAAATTCATGCACGGCCCCTCTGGGCACTGTGCAGTAGAGAAGGCTCACAGCGTGTTGGACATATTTCCCTGCCGGTTTTAGCCTTTATTTTGAAGATTCATGTATTTTGTACGCTAACTTTTTTATTTCACACATTAACTTTGTTCTTGTTTCTTCTTCTGACTTTCTCTCATTGTATTGTCATATCTGAGGGTAACTAAGGTTTTTTGTTGTTTGTTTTTTTGCCTGATACAGTTGCAGTTTTATCATTAACTGCATCACCTTTTTATTCTCGCAAGTGATCCAATTTTGGTGAAAATTTATATGGTCACTCTCTATTCTGACTCTATTCCTAGCACACAAAGATGCTTTCTTAATTGAAAATTAGTAAGAGGCCTGTTTCCTTATGGGCCCAACTGAATGTACTTTCTGATGGAAAAATGCAGCTTTCTCTTTGCATGAGAACTGGGATCAAACCGTCCAGCAGAGGGCGCACCCCAAGCCCTGGTCACTAGAGCCAATGCCTGAGTCCAAAGGCGCCTGTCACTGACGTTGGTCATCTGTTTAAAAAACTGTAATTGTCACTCAGGAGAGGATAAGTTCATTGATAAATATTCTGGCTTACAGGGAGCTCAGAGAAGGCTCTGGGGATGTGTTCATTACCTGAGCTGATGGAAACATGTCTTTACAGCCCTGATCTTTCTGTTTTCTCAAGACCATACTCTCCCTTTGCCAAATCTGAATAAATAGCAATAAATCAAATGAAATCCTAATAATTATGGGCTAGTTTGAGCATTCATAGGACATAACTGTAAAATTTAATAAAGAGAACCTGTGGTTTCTTCACAGGAACTGACTTGGGCAGACCTTACTCATTTTTCCTTGTCCTGTGCCCTTGGAATTAAGAACCTCTACTGTCCAGAAGCTGTTTGGCTCTCTTTTGTTCTGGTACCTTAGCAGTTCTGGCTGAAATTCAAAAACAACTGTAAGAATTTATGTTACTGGTCTACACAAGGGTAAACGACTGCACCACGTCTCCCTGTGTGAGGCAGAGCAAGCAGGAGAGTCTCCTGACGCCATGGAGACACTGACGTGCATAATTCATGGTTAGTGGAGCTTCTGGCTTAATGCTAAGGTTCTAGGGCTAGTAAACTAGTTTGCCTTAGATTTGTGATACCCTCAGAACCCACAGAACAACATGAAGGGATAAGGAGGGCTAGTAACAAAATTTGTCACAGGTTAATAGGTCCTGGTACTGGTGACGTGGAAGTCAGCCATGTTATCTCCAAACTTAATTTATCTCCGAACTTAATTAATTCTGAAACAGAAGGAAACATTTGGAGTAACCTGGAATTGTAATGTATCCAGGATCTCCCCCCATGTCTAGGTGGCTGACGGGTGAATTTTTCTCTCTCAGGAAATGCATGTGTTTCACGTTCTCTGTCTTTACATGTAAACGGCGGTCACTGCGGTAGATGGGCTACTTACCAGTGGTTGATACGATGCACCCTGTTAAAGGTCATGAGGACACGAGCTGACTTAGGACTCATCCTTGCTACGCTCCTGGTCACTGCTGGGCAGCGGGTAACCTGTTAATTTGGGCCCATGGTTCTTCAAGTTGTCCTGAATCAATAATTTATAAAATGTTAGTTATGGGTGCCTGAAGAACAATCTAAAGACAAATCTTGACATAGGAGCACACATTTCTAAAGTGCAGTTTTGTCCCCCATCTGCCCAGAGGGCCAGGGGAGTCCCTCTCCCAGTATTTGTGAGACAGGACAACAGTTGGTAAAGCAAATTACATGCAAGTGTAACATCTGTAGGATGGAAAGGGGACTTGAACACCTACATTTAAATAAATCAAGTCAATACATCGTAAGTATCTCGTCCTGAAATTCTGATGTGCTTCCGTCCTCAGGCTAAGTGTTGTCCCTTAAACAACATTTGAAGACGTGTGATTTTATCCAGGTACTTCATTTTTCAGCTATTCAGCCTTATATTTGTTTATTGGTCAGTTTGTTTCATAGCTATCATTTGTATAAATCCACGTGTGGAACGAAAATATTTGACTTTTCCACCTCCCTTGCGCTCTCAGCTGTCAGAGTAACAATGAGCCAGGATGTGGGGGAGGAACAAGGGTCTGGACGTTGAGGATGAGGACACCTGTGTGTGACATATGGATGAACTCGAGGCAGTGAATTCAGAACAGGAGGTTGGACAGACAATGAAGCACTTCACTCAGTGATGCAGACGAGATGCCCGGGAGGTGCCCCATAGAGGAGACGGGAAGGGAGTGTCAGGAGGAGAGGGGATGCGACGTCAGAGCTTCTGGCTGAACCCTGTTCCCCTGAGAAAGCCCAAGAGACTATAAGAGCCCCAGGGCTGAAGATACAGCTGGGTGAGCTTTGTGCCCAGAGTGGTCAGAGGAGGAGGGTCCCAAGTTCCTGAAAGGCAGCTCGGCTGCCAATGGTGAGAGCCACGTCTGTCCAGACCGCTGCCCTTGACCGGGCAGGCACCGTGTCCAGGGGGCAGAGTGAGTGAGCAGGAGCTCAGGAGCTGGTCCTGGGCTCTGCTGCTTTCAGGCTGTGACAGTGTGAATATTCTGGCTGACATGTAGATGACAGTGACCCTCTCTCCTGGGACACAGGGAAGGAGGCTGGAGATGGTGTCCACACAGTGTCCCCACTGGCTTCTAAGTGGGAAGAAAACACGAACATCTCCAAACATTAACAACAGGCATGTAGCTCACTCAGTCTGATGTAACGCTGACCAGGAAAACAAACAAACTTGGATAAAAACTTCATCTTCAAGGAAATGACAGTGTTTAACGCAGGCAAACTGAGGATGAAGCTACCTTCTCACTTGTTCACTGACTTGATACGTGCAATCTTTGCGGAAAAGAATCTAAATGGGGAAATTGGGGATTCTTGATTTTAACCTCCCCAGGCCGGGAGCCCTCGAGTGCTCCCAATATTTACAACAAGGGGCTCAGATTCCTCCCCTTGTTCCAACTAAGCATCCTCTCTGGGAGAGTCTGCTTTCCCCGAGAGCCAGCTAGCTGCCTATAGTCCTGTTGCCCGTGGACCCGTTTTCATATGTGCGGAGCTCACTGTCTAGTGCCTTCTGGATTCTCAGTCAAAATGCTCCACTTGTCAAGTGAATCTTAATGCTCATCTGACTTGACAAATATCCAGGCTTCAGGGTCTGCCTCCTCACTGGCCTTATCTGTCTCTCCTCTGACCCAGGATACACAAAACCTGAATCCCTGGGCTCTCCCATCATTTACGTTTCAAGCCCTATCCTGGTTATTTCAGGATCTTCCCCATTTAATTCCCTTTTGACCCAAATGAATAACGGTAGCCCACGAAGAAGGGCTAAAAAAAATTGTTTTACCAGCTTGGAAAGAATAATTTATGTAGGCATGTAGACAGATGAAAAGAGAGCGATCTTCAAATTTTTTCATCTAACGGGACAAATTACTGTGGGTGAAGGTGAAACCAAGTCAGGAGCAGACGTGTTGGGCATCAGCCTCGGGGGGGTGAGCCGCACTTAGGGTGCAGGGCAGGGTGTCGCCCCAGCTGCAGGGGTCAGAGCTACACGGACCTGCCTAGTTTTCTGTTCACTCAGGCTCTAGGTTGTAGCACTGTGGGAGAATAACTGTAGCTCTGCTGACAGTAACACTTTGCAGCGTCTTCAGCTTCCAGGCTGCTGATGGTGAGGGTGAAATCTGTCCCAGATCCGCTGCCACTGAACCGGGTGGGGACCCCTGAGATGGTCTGGGAAGCGTGCTGTATAAGGAGCTTGGGAGGCTGATTTGGTTTCTGCTGGTACCAGTGTAAGCTGGTGCTGATGCTCTGGCTGGCCCGGCAGGTGATGGTGGCTTTGTCCCCTGGAGCCTTAGACAGGAGGGCTGGGGACTGGGTCAGCATGGTCGCCCCACTGGAGCCTGAAAGCACACGGGAAACATTAACAGAACACAACTTATGTATGTGGAAGTCGCTGTTCACCTAGTTAGATGGGGAAGAATATTTTTTTTTTAAATTCTTACTTAATCAGTAAGCCTACTTCAAGTGGTAAAGAAAGCAAATCAGTCATGGAAATAATGTCCCCACTTTTATCTTTGTCCCGACATTCTCACCTGGAACCCAGAGGAGCAGCAGCCCCAGAGCTGGGATGGAAACACCGTCTTGCTGCTGTTGACTTGTCTCTGCCGCTCAGACCACATCTCAAGACAAGGAGCTTCTTATAAGATTCTGAGAAGCAGGGTCACTTCAGATGTGAGAGGAAGGATATATGCAAATTATGGACATTTCATGTGGGTTTAAATCCTCAGATATTTGTCAGGAGAGCTGGGGCTCCGGTCCCTTCTCTGAGTGTGTCCTGTCTCCCCCTGCTGGTGATCTAGAGTCAAGAAAGGTGGGCATGTGTTTTTTTTACACCTAGATGTACAATAAACTGCGCGCGTTTGGTGTTTACAGTTTGATGAGCTTGCTCATATGCAGACACCCATGAAGTCATCTCCTCAGTGTGTTAGACATGTTGTCCTGCTTCCAAAGATGCCTCACATCCCATTGGGCACTTTGTTATTGTTGTTGCTTGGATCTTTAATTTTATTTGATATATTCCTTTTTTGTTTGATAATAGTAAAATCTACCCTCTTAACAAATATTGAAGTTCGTAATATGGCACCGTTAGCTGCAGGCACTACGCTGCACAGCGGATCACTGATCACTAGACGGTATCATATTTCACAGTCGAATCGTTGTATTCATTATTTTGAAATGGTTTGTCCACGCTCGGTCATGTGCAGAACTGAGCTGTAAAGACACACCAACTAATGCAGTCTCTGGTACAGTTTACATTCACCCAGAATAAAAAGCAGCTCACGTCCTCAGTCTTGGCCCAGGACAGTGGTAACGCTCTGGTCTCTGTCACAGTAGAGGCTGAAGAAACTCTGACTGTGTGGACATTTCACAGTGCGTCACATATTGCGAGGCTGGATTGATGCCATCGTGGCCATTAGCCTGACGGACCAGGAATTGCAGGGACTCTAGACGACTTGTAGAAATATACGTGCTCCAGAGGACGGGATGTAAATCCCACAGAAATTCCTGGACTTCCAATCAGTGACTGTGGCAGGGGTCCAGACGTCTGAGACATGCTGACACATGCTGCTCACGGTAAAGGACCAGGAACTGTACCTTGAACCTCCTGCCACTTAGAATGAATACATATATTTATATGTCATACTTCTTATCCATATATACACCGCAGACTTCTTTATCCAGTCATCTGTTGATGGACACTCAGGCTGCTCCCATGTCTTGGCTGTTGTACATAGTGCTCTACGAACATGGGCGCATGTGTCTTTCTCATTACAGGTGTCTCTGGATTTGAGCCAAAGACTTGGTTTGCTGGATCATATAGTAAGTCGACTTTCAGTTTTTTAGGGAACCTCCATCCTGTCCTCCGTAGCGGCTGCACCAATTTCCATTCCCACCACGGGAGGGCTCCTCCTCCTCCACATCCTCTCCAGCATTTATCATTTGTAGACTTTTTGACCTCAGCCATTCTGATTGTAGTTTTGATTCGCATTTCTCGAATAATTAGCAATATTAAGCATCTTCTTGTGCTTTAGGACACCCAGATGTCTTCTTGAAAAAATATCTATTTAGATCTTCTGCCCAGTTTTTGATTGGGTTATGAGTCTGTTTGGTTGGTTTTTGATATTAAGCTGTGTGAGCTGCTGTGTACTTTGGAAATAAGTCCCTTGATGGTTGCTTCCTTTACAAATGTTTCCTCGCAGTCTGTAGGTTGTCTTTTCATTTTGTTGATGGTTTCCTTTGCTGTGCAAAAGCTTTTAAGCTTAATTAGGTCCCATTTGTTAATTTTTGCTTTTATTTCCATTACTCTACGAGATGGACCCAGGAAAATACTGCTGAGATTTATATCAAAGAGTGTCCTGCCTGTGTTTTCCTTTAGGAGTTTTATAGTATCTGGTCCTACACTTAGAGCTTTTATTCATTTCGAGTTTATTTTCGTACGTGGTTAGAGAATGCTTTACCTTCATTCTTCTACTAGCTGTCCAGTTTTCCTAGAAGCCCTTACTGAAAAGATGGTCTTGTCTCCATTGTATATTCTTGCCTCCTTCATCGTAGGTTAATTGACCATAAGTGCCTGGGTTTATTTCTGGACTTTCTATCCTGTGGAAGTACATTTAAAAAACCGCTTTTTTCTTTATGGGTTCTGGGAGAGTTGTTCAATGATGGGCCCTCCAATGTGACTGGGAGGTCACAAGAGCAAGACTCCATGTGTATCAGGACCTGTTGAGAGAAGCATGGACATACGCAAGAACTTGAGAACCCCCTGGGGTGCTGCCGGCCACTTGCAACATCCACGCCCGGGCCCTGGGCGTCATCGACAGGACCGTGTTAGGCAGCCTCTGCCCGGCGGAAAACGTGTCCTGGCCTCGGTGGGGCCCAGAGAGTCACTGAGGTCTAGCACCGATTCTCTCAGTATCACACTCCCCAGAACTTAAAAGGTTGTAGTTTAGACCCACATTTCATGTAATTTAAAAAAATCCCTGCTTGGACTGTATAGAATGTCTTTTCTTTTGCTGTGTGAACCCTGACTGGTACCGTAAGCTAGACTTCTTAGACGTAATCATCCGTCCTTTATAAAAGCAGAAGAGGCACTGTCATGTCTGTGCAGCTGGCACTGAGGAGGGGCAAAGGGCGTTAGGGTGCGAGGGACCTCCCTGTCACTTCTACCGAAGCCTTCCAGTGACCTTGACAAAGTGGGTGCAGCAGAGAAAGGCGCTCAGCAGATGGAGGCGTCAGGAGCAGCTGCTGGGGCAGCCCAGCCTCACACGTCGGCCTCCCCGGGTGGCTTTTGCTCTGGCCTGTAACACTGTGGGAGGTGCACTGTAATACTGCTGACAGTAGTAAGTCCCGGCATCTTCAGCCTCCAGGCCGCTGATGGTGAGGGTGAAACTTGTCCCTGATCCACTGCCACTGAACCTGGAAGGGACCCCGGTTTGCAGTCTGGATGCACCATAGATCAGGAGCTTAGGAGTTTGCCCTGGTTTCTGCTGATGCCAGGATAACTCATTGCTGATGCTCTGACTGGCCTGGCAGGTGATGGTGACTCTGTCTCCCAGAGATGCAGACAGGGAGGAGGAAGACTGGGTCATCTGAGTAGCACACCTGGCACCTGAGATGGGAAACATAGAAAACAAATATCCCTATTATTGCTAATGTGATAAGAGGACTTCCCTCAAGGGCCAGACAGCACTGAGCACCCAGGGCTGAGTAAGTCCCAGCGTCTCCGTCCTTACCCGGGAGCCAGAGCAGCAGGAGGCCGAGGAGCTGAGCGGGGGCCTGCATGTTCCCTCTGTGTCCTGCCTGGGATTGAGTCTTGCCCAAGATATAACCAGACAGTTGATGAAGTCTCCTCTGACATGCAAATCAGCAGGGGCCGGGGCCGAGTTGGGCACAGCTGCAAGGCCGACCAAGCTCCATAACACAGCCCGGGTGCAGCGTCTCCCCCGTCTGAGCGGCGCTGTGCAAACCTGCCCGCAGACAGCATGCTTCTCTCTGGAGGCCACAGGACTGAATCAGTCTACCATCCTTTTGGTAGAGTGTTCTTTCGCTCTTTTCAATGTTCATAACGTGGTTTTCTTGCTACATTTCCATCTAAGACACTTTCTACTGGTGTGATCTATTTCAAGATACTGCAAGAAATTTGATAAGATGTCTGTATTTCCCATCTGGGGCTATCACTGAGGCCAAAATGTCTTCCTCTGATCTGATTCCCTGATGCCCTTAGTGAGATAAATCATCAGCACAGAGACGGAACCCAGGATAACTACAGTTTCTCCTCAATACTCCACAATGTACTGACTGATAACACATGTGAAAAATCTTCTGAGGTCGTAGAAAATATTCTCTGAACTTATAAGAGGAAAAAACTGCAGAGCTTACATAGAAACAAGATTACTTGCTTCCACCAGCCAGGGCAAAAGAATCTCAGAATTCACAGTGCGTCAGTTGTGTCCTCAGAAAGGCTTTGTTTCAGAGAAGGGCAAAATTATCCCCTTCCAGATGCTCTTCTGGGCTTTCCTAGGAAAGCTTGAAAGCAAGACCCAGTACAGTCCAAGTGTTTCAAGTCACGATTCTAGATATTGTTGAAGAAAAGATTAGTGACTTTAGCAATAGAAAATATCCACAATTGTGCACAATGGGGAAAATATTGAAAAAATACCCGAAATCCATAGAGCATCCATGACCTGTGTGAAAATTTCACACAGTCTATTATGTGTATAATTGAAGTCCTGGGAGGAAGCGGTAGGGAGGGGAGGTCTAAAGATTTTTTGTCTGAGATTTGCAAGGTTTTAAGAAATTTTTCCCAGGGCTTTCATAATATAAAATCCAGAGTCAACTCAAAACCACAAATTCAGTGGCTGAAGCCTGAGAAAAATCAGCTTACCCACAGCTCCCTCTGTGGTCCTGGTTGTAATTGGAAATAAATCTCTAACAATTAAATGGTCTGAAGAATCCAGACATTGTCAAATATCCCCAGGGTAGAAGGAGCAAACATTTCCCTGGAATGAAAACACTGCACTACAACAACCGCTAGGGGAAAAAAAAATCAGGAAATTAATTAATCAGTAAAGATGTAGTCAAAGTGTCAACTGAGAGAGAAAAATGTAAGCCTGAAAGACACTGAATGAAACAGTAATGGTATAAATGATCTGAATAGTATTACCACCCATCCGGACCAAATAGACTTTGTGAAGCAACACTCCCACAAACAAATAAAGCACATCCTTTTTAAGTGACAATAGAGCACTTACCAAAATGGAAAATATGCTGGAGTATTCAATAAAGTTTCAGTACCGTTCTTCTCAAGGAGATGTTACCTGGCCACAATGCAGTCAAACGAGGTTTAAAAAAAAAAAAAGATATCTGAAAAAACTCTCTGAATATTTGAAAATCCAGCAGTAGAATTTTAAATAGCAAGTCAAGCAGAAAGGGAACATTAGAAAACATTTGAACCTGAAGGATGTTACAAGCACCAAATGTCAGCATTTGTGAAGCGTTGCAAAAGCAATGTTTAGAGAGAAATACAGAATTGTCTCTTATTTTAAACAGTAAAACAAGTTTTAAAATCAATTATGTAAGTTTCTACCTTAAAACGTAGAAAGATTTAGAAATGAAGACTCTTTGTTTATTCCCTGACCTCCACCCAATACCATGTGAACCTGACTGCTCTGACCTCAGTACCTAGATCCGTGCCTGGCATACACAAATAAAAATTGAAGACATTAGAGAAGCAGAGGTTTTAGATTTTTAAAACTTGAATAAAACAGTAATTAATCAAAATGACTTTTAAAACCAGGTTGTGAATTTCTCCCTTTCATACACTGTTACATCATCTCTGAAATCTTCACTCGAGCTAATCCTGGACTTACCAGGTGTCCCGCTGTCAGAGGTATGAGCTTTTCCTTGGCCGCTCTATGATTCCTGTTAGCTTTCGTGCAGTAGCAGAGCACAGGTTTAATGCTCTAAGTCTTAGAGGGGTGTTTTACTTTGTGCGTGGTCATTTTTTCTTTCAAACTAGAATGTACAATATACGCGCATCAATGTTGCAAACTCAACGTGCCAGATATTCTTGTGTGACGTTGAGATACATCAATGCACAGAGCAGACAAGTGTCCCCAATCCTTTGGAGCTTAAATTCTACTAGAGCATCGGACTCTAAAGAAAGAAAGAAGCTTGAGAAGCGCTTTGAGCACAAGTTGGAACAGTATATATTCTTACTGTAGGGTCAGGGTGGGCACTGAGCAGGGAAGCACTCTGTTGAACTGATGGATGAAGGGGTTCACACAACGGGGGTCTGGAGGAAATGTTCTGCTGACACTGGGACAAGGGAGAGCAGAGGTCCAAGCGGAGGACTGTGCAGGGCATGTTCAAGGCAGGGCCACGTGGCCAGTGAGGCTGGAGCCCCATGAGCCCAGTGAGGTCTTAGGAGGAACAGGAAGGGTCCTGGTGGGTTGGGCCCAGCAGGCATTGTGCTGTTAAACTCCTCAACCCCGTCCGTGAATCAGATTTTCAGGTTAGAATCTGATTTTACTACCTAGACGGCATATTTCATAACCTCTGTCGGCCTCAGGGCCTCAATGGGAAGCTGGGAATAAAATGTCTCATACCACGACTTAGCTCAATTCACGGCACATCGCAAGTAACCCATAAACACCGCAGCCTTTGCCTTTGGTGGTGGGTAAGTGTATAATGCAAGAGAACGGTGGTAGATCAGAAAAGCGTGGTCACACGTTCCTCCCATCAAGACTGCAGTCTATGTCACTGCGCCTTGAACCAGCGGGTCTGGGGTCTTGCTTTGACAAACAAAGTGGAGAAAGGAAGCCTGTGCCAGCTCTGGGGTCCAGGCCTCACTGCTTGCAGTTCCCATCTTCCCTCTTGGATGTGAGGTGGCGGGTCCAGCCTACTGGAGGACGAGAGGCCACGCGGGGGAGAACTGAGGCTCCCGGCCAGCAGCCAGCGCCGGCCACCAGACACGCGTGCGGGCCACCCAGCGGCAGGACAAGGACGGAGGGTGGGGGCTGGGGGTGGTCCTGCCTGCGGGGAGGAGTGTTTCACCCCCGATGCTGTTCAGAATTACCAGTGCGTGGTGACAGGAAAAAGGAACAGTGTCATTAGTTAAGAACTTTCTCCTGTCAGTTCCCTCTTCAAAGCCTGCACCTGCGGGGGGTGGGGGGGCCTCCAACCACGCTTTACCTCTTGTATGTGACTAAGAGGACGACCGAGGCTCCCCAGCCATCAGCAGCACCAGGACAGAAACAAAAATAAACTAAAGCTTCTGTGTTGATCACGGCTTGGCTCTAATCTCCTCCTCCTGTTTCCCTATGTAGATCGGGTTGAAATGTGAGGCCCCTGCTCCTCCAGGTCAGAAAACATAGACTCTGAGACCCTGAGCGTCTAAACTGTGGACAGTGTACAGCTCTCACATCGTGGCCCCTTGCAGGAAGCAGGTGTCTGTGCACCACGCGGGCATCATTGGACCAGAAAGGAAGTTTTTATCTGAGGGCCTGTCACTGTGAGAGGCAGGCTGGCGTGCTGCTGGCAGTAATACACTCCGACATCTTCAGCTTCCACTCCGTGGATGGCGAGGGAGAAGTCAGAGCCAGAGCCGCTTCCCCGGAACCGGGACGGGGTTCCTGAGGCCCGGGCAGAAGCCCCAAAGATGAGCAGCCTGGGAGCCTCCTTGGGTTTCTGCTGGTACCAGGCCATGGAGGTACCTACCTCCATGCTGCTTCTACAGGTGATGGAGACAAGGCTTCCGTGAGATGCTGCCAGGCTTTCTGGAAACTGAGTCAGGGCGATCTGCCCCCAGCAGCCTGTAAGGACACCCCATCAAGGCAACACAATGTATGACTTCTCTCAAAGGCTTAGAGAAAACATTTTTCTTTAGATGAAGCATGTTCCTCAGGGGAACCATGTCAAGCTTAAACAAGACCAACATTAAGTGCCCCTGGGCCTCTGTCTGTTTGCCTGTGTCCAAGAGCCCACATCCAAATGGCTACTAGTGTGACCTGAGGACCGGGGCAGGCTGTGAAAGCGACACGAGAGTGGACAGTTCCGTTCTGAGGGCTGACGGATGGGTCCACTCCTCATGGTCCAGTGAGTCCCTGCTGAGCCCCTACAGAGCGGGCGGGCCCGGGTGGGAGCGTGGACGCAGGGCTCTGGGGTCCTCAGAGGGAAGAGGACAGTGTCAAAACCATTTTTGCCTCTTCCTTTTTATCAGCCTTGGACTCTTCCTCGGCTTCTTGTACAAGTTGTCAAAACAACTCGTACATCGCACCGTAACTTCTAAAGCCCGTGCGAGCGCGTGAGCTTTGTGCCAAGGGCTCCAGCTCAGGCTCTGCAGTGGGAGCCACGCTCACCTGGAAAGGTCATCGCCAGGAGACAGAGGAGCAGGGTCTGCAAGCTCATCGTGGACGGTTCCTGGGATCTGCCGCTTCTGGACCAAGGATCAGGGGGATGGAGATGCTCTGGAATCGAGGCTGAGCCCTGGGGTTAAATCATCACAGGGTCCCTGGGAGCTGATTTGCATGTATGACGGCCTGACTAGAGCTCTTCCCTAGCGCCCTCCCAGGGGGCAGGCTCCCTGCACCTGCAGCTGCAGGGACGTGGGGAGGACAGAGCTGCTCTGGCCCCAAAGGCCGGACTGAGTGGGACCAGGGAGGCTGCCAGCTTCACAGGGCTCCTCTCCAAAGCTGGGACGGAGGCCACCCCCGAGCCAGCCAGATGCCTGCAGGGTGCTCACTCAAGGACCTCCTCTTACAGAGATGGCGCCTTGTTCTGCTTTCTGCTCTAACCAGATGCCAAATCTCCCCTTGACTGAAGACCAAGGCAGGCAGTCAGGTACCACGGGGGAGCCAGGTCAGCCTGTCCTCATCACAGAGAACAGATTTCCAAATATTCACAACCACCAGCAAGCAAAGCCTGGTCAGTAAAATTAAAATCACGTCGTTGCTGAAGTGAATAGTTAGGGAGAAGCCACACCCCGACAGAGAGAATGTGGGCATGTGCTTCTGACCCAACGAGGCAGCAGCGCGTCCAGCCCACGTCTCAGGAGACGGGACCGCGTTCTGCTGCCCGTGGAGACCCCAGCTGAGGCCCTTGGCTTGGCTCCTGTGAGCTGCAGGCTGGGGACTCTCAGGGTCTCCGATCAGGCCCTCTCTAATACTTTCCCCTCTCTGGGACTAGTTTGTTGCTCTGAGGTTGCCACGGACGAGACCCAGAGCTGACTGTGCGAGTGAGGACCGCCTGGGATGTGGGATGCTTTTCAGTGTCCTCCTGTGCGCAGCTTGTGTTGTATTTTCTGGTTTCCAATGACCACAGCTTACCACCAGCACTCTTCCACAAGGACTCATGCGGTGGGGTCAGAGCTCCAGGGAACAACGGGCCAGGATGTGCGGGAGGAGCAAGTGTCCAGACGTGGAGGACGAAGACACCTGTGTGTGATGTAAGGATGTACTGGAGGCAGTGAGTGCAGAACAGGAGGTGGGACAAAACACTGAAGCGATTCACTCAGTGATACAGATGAGATGCCCGGGAGGTGCCCCATAGACGAGGCGGGACGGAAGTGTCAGGAGGGAGCGGGTGTGACGTCAGAGCTGCTGGCCGAGCCCTGTTCCCCTGAGAAGGCCCAAGAGACCATAAGAGCCCCAGTTTGGAAGCTGCAGCTGGGTCAGTTTTAAGCTCAGAGTGGTGACCGCAGGAGGGACCTGTGCTCCTGAAGGCAGCTGTCCTGCTGATGGCGAGAGTGATGCATGTGCGCACCCACTGCCCCATAACCAGAAAGTCATCCTGTCCGGGGCCAGTGTGGGTGGGCAGGAGCTCAGGTGCTGGTCCTGGTCTTTGCTGGCATCAAGCTATGACAGTGTGAGCACCCTGGCCCTGCAGGTGATGGTGACCCTCTCTCCAGAGACACAGGGAGGAAAGCTGGAGACAGTGTCCCCACTGGTATCTAAGTGGGGCAGCAAACATGGACATCCCCAGACATTAATGCCAAGCAAGTAGCTCATTCAACTTGCTGCACTTCTGATCAGAAAACAAAGCAGATTCACAGCTTCGCCTTCGAGGACACGTGCATGTGTGATGCAGAGAAACCGAGGGTGAAGCCTGAGCCCGCCTTGCTCACCTGAGTCAGAGCAGCAGGAGGGAGAGGAGCCAAGCTGGGGTCTCTGTGTCCCCAGGCTGCTTCCTGAGGCTGCTCCTGTTCAGGGAGCGTAAGGATGGGCTCTGGGGACACAGCCGTCACAGAGGGGAGGGACAAGGCAGACTTCCAGCCACACAGCACAGAGCACAGGGCGGGGTTTTCTCCAGCACTCAGCACAGTGGCAGCTCCTCCCCAGGGGTCCCCATCACACCAGAGACCCCATTCAAGCCTTAGGGGCTCCTGTTGAAAATAGGACAGCATCACCCTTACTCTCCTACTATTTCTAAGACCACGCCTTTATCTTGTGTTTATTGCGGGGTTTTCTGCCATCTAATGGCCGTTTTGTGATACAGCAGTTTATGGAGTTTTCAGTGCAGAACCTCAAAGGATTTTGACTGTGAGATGTGTCACTGTCACTCACAATGCCCGTACTGTTATATCCATCACTTTTCCATTCTCCTTTGGAAACGTCCAATGATTCGTCCCCTAAGTAGTCATGGAGTTGAAGACAAAAGCTAACAAGCACATAGGAATTCAGAAAGGATATTGGTTTAAACCGACTTAGGGGCTAGGTTCTGTGATCCTCATGAGATGTCAAAGATGCGGTTTGGGAAGAGAGGGTGGGACAGCGGGTCCCTGCAGATGGAGATGGGGACCAAGCACAGATGCATCCCAGTGCTGACTGTGTCCCACCCCACGGTCTTCCCAGCCACGTGCCGGCTGATGTGACGGGGCAGTGAGAGCTGCTTTCGCGGAACAAAGGCTCAATCTCGGTCCCGTGGAACATGCGCAGCCTGATGGATTGACGTGGTCCAGTCACTTTCCTGTTTCTGCTGCTGCCCGGCTAACAGCTGCTCTGTTAGCTCTTAGATGATGTTTCTCTAAAGTCATGGCAGGAAGAGGGGTGGAGGCATAAGTCTGTTTTAACTCACTCTTGACTGATGAGATAAACTCACGATTTGCTCAGAACACTCAAGTTAGAGGAGCTGGATAGAGAGAAAAATTTGACTCTCTTTCAAAAATTTGAATCATGTATATTAGTAAAACAGTTTAAGACAACAGGAAAAGGGGAACAACTTTTCACAGAGAGTAAATATGAAATTCCTGCTTGTGTATCTTATATATATATATTTTTATACAAAAGTAGTCTTCTATCCTTTGATTTACCAAATTGTGTCTTTTTTCCTTAGATAACAATTAACCAAAGGAATCTCTATAACTAATCCTGCATGTATCAAATTAAGGTTTTGTAATGCTTATGGACTATTTCGTGGAAGGGATGCAGCACATTTGAAGTAACCTCAATCCGACTGGTGGGCATTTACTTTGTTTAAGGTTATTGACCACTACACAGAATACAGCAGGAAGTGTGATTTTGTATTCTCCGTGAGGAAGGGCAGTTTTATTTTAATAGGTTAAACTCTCAGGTATAGAAGTATCAGTCCAAAAAGCATACACTTTATTTTTTGAAGTCTAGTCAGTTTACAATGTTGTGTCAATTTCTGGTGCGCAGCACACTGCTTCCGTCATATGTGGATATACATACATTCATTTTCATATTCTTTTTCACCATAAGCTACTATAAGATATTGAATATATTTTCCTGTGCTCTACAGTATAGTACAAACCCTCCCTCACTCCACACACAAAAATAAACACAAAATGGCTTAAAGGCTGAAATACAATGGCTTTTAATCTCAATGATGTGTTGGGTTTTTGAAATAATCTATTAAGTATCTTCAGATCCATGACTGGAGGGCTCAGGTCTGCTTGATTTCTATGATTTTCCACACACTTTAAATTTAATGGAATTGACACATTGGGATTTTAATTGCTCTTCCCATAAAGCCATTATCTTAGAATAGCCAGCGATCTTTAGTTACATTTTATTTTCTTAACCAGAAACAAGATCAGCTATTTCGTCAATTCAATCATTCTTTTACTTCTGTCATTCTGTGTTATCGCATGTAAACGCCATGACCCCTTATGAGATCAGACATCACTTGGAAGCAATACTTTAAATGGAATCTCTTCAATGCATACATTTTCTATGCATTTCCAGCTAAAATATGTTACTCAGATTTCATTTCAGGGATTAACTGTATCATGTGAAAACAACACATATGTTTGTTCAGTATCTTTCATTATGGCAATAGTATCAAATTTGTCATGTCTTAAACACTGTTTCGTTAAATATCCTTACCATTTGAAAGAGAAAGAACTAATCTCATATGACTCTGTCTCTGTCCTGTGGTGTGTGGGGGAAATGTTGTGCTCGCATCATTCAGTTTTGGTGGTTCATCTTCCAAGACCACTTTGAAATCATGAAAACCACCTTTTCACTCAGAAAAAAAAAATGTAACTGAGGCAGAACAAAGCCTTTTGGCATTGAAGTCTTCTATTTGCTGTGGATTTCCAAAGGTCTGTATACACACTCAAAAATTAAACTGAATATTCTCAATCACAGTCTCCCTGAGGACAGACTGTGTAGAATGAACGTTCAAAGATATTGATGGAGGGACTAATGTAAGTAGTAAAGATGTAGGAAATTGAGAAAGTGGGGCGATGGCAATGTACCAATACTGCCTAATGTTCTCCAGGGAACAGTGAACCCCAAGCTGTGCATTTGCAACGTGCGTTAGACTTTTGGTGCCACGTGGCAGTGTCGCTGGTCTGGTTGTTAGACTGGATACGTCTCAGTGCCACACGGAGACGAGGCAGGAGGCTGGGGCTGGCCTGCACTCAGCCTCCCGTTCACACCACTGGCAGCTCACAGGACCCGGGCCCCTCAGGTCCCTGCTGCCCCTGCCAGGACCAGGCTGTGCCGCTGGCGGGGCTGCACCTGCGGAGCAGCAGGAGCACGTGTGGCCCGAGCCCTCAGCTGCGACCTGATCCCCTGGGAGCCCCCACATCTTCCTCTTACACAGACTCAGAGAGTCTGCTGTCAGGTCCCCAGAGAAGCGACGCACTGGGCAGCTGGGCCACCCCGGGCGGGAAGGTTTGTGTTCAGGCCTGTACCACTGTGGGAAGAGACTGTGCACAGTAATACACTCCAGCATCCTCGGCCTTCACCCCGCTGATTTTCAGGGTGAAAGCTGTCTCTGACCCGCTGCCAGTGAACCTGTCTGGGATCCCAGGGGCCCGGCTGGAACCTGCAAAGATCAGCATCTGTGGAGACTGGCCTGGTTTCTGCAGGTACCAACTCAAGTATGTGTCTCCTTCACTATCTTCAAGGTTTTCAGTGGATCTGCAGGAGATGGAGGCCGGCTCCCCAGGCGTGACAGACAGGGAGCCTGGGATCTGGGTCAGCACTAAATCCCCACTGGACCCTAAAAGAGTAAGAGAAAATGACAAGATTTTGGACAAGCTTTAGGAATCATTTTCAGAATTTTTCTTTTGTTATTTACTTAAGGCTAAGTTACATTTTTGATTCTGAGTGATCCCCAAAATATTGAATTTCAAAATGAACCCAAGATTTGCAACATAAAAAGGGATCTCTAGATGTCATGTCCACCGGCCCAGTCTCTCTATGTCCCCGTCTTCACCACAGAACTGAGACTCGTTCCTTCTGGGCTCCTCCTCATCCTCCTTCTGCTGAACATCACATGCCCTTGACAGACGGAAAGGTTTGCCTCTGACATCTGGACAAATACACACAGAGAGCAGGGGTGCCCCCAGAGCTCACCCCCACATTCTCCTCCTCATCTCCCCTCTGTCCTCACCTGGGACCCAGAGCAGGAGGAGCCCCAGGAGCTGAGAAGGAAGCCTCATTTTCAGCAGCTGGAACTGATGCGTCCCGATGAATCAAAGCCAGGCTAGAGCTGAGCTTTTATATGGGACTTGCCAGGGAAGATCCTCCCCAGGGAGCAGCATGCAAATGCCCTGGTGGGGGCAGCGCTGTGGGGAGAGCCAGGGGGCTGGGGAGCCTCTCTTGTGAGCAAAGTAACATGAAATGTCGGTGTGGACGGACAACCTTCAACCTCAATAAAAATGAAATCTGTGCTAAGGGGGAAGGGCACACAGGGGAATGTTTCCTCCTCTTTTTTCCATCAGTTTTCCACTTTCTTAGAACTTCCTTAATCATATTACACTTCTCTTTAGTAAGGCTGCTACCATGATTATTTAGTGACTTTTGGGGTTTTTTAATAATTGTTAAAAGACAATGGGTCTTTTAATTTTAATCGAGATTTCAAAAGACAGGAAAAAAGGGCTGACATCTAAGTGCCCAACTGATTAAGGTCCACATCTATCTCGATCTGGATGAAGTACAGACTCTGTCCCACTCTCCAGATGCCTCTCTCTTACGCTCTCAAGTCAATAAATACCCCCAACCAAGGAAGCCGTCATTCTGAGAGCTGGGGGAGAAGCATGTCTAAGCTGGGGGGAAACTGGGGTCAGGGAGGGCGGGGCCAGAGGGCCGGAGCTGAGGTGGGTGCAGCACATAGAAACCTGAAGGAACCGCAAAGGCAGGAAATTCAGAAACAGATCTCGATGAACAAATTTGGAAGCTCTGTCTACATGACACTCACATGAAATTTAAACACTCGTGTTTTTAGCTTTCTAATCTACAGATATATTTCAGTTTTTAGGAGAGTGAATATTAGAATTACTAGGCATATAACAGACTAGGATTTTGCCCCAGAGAGACTGAGGGAAAGACAGTTTTCTTAGGCCAACAGACCAGCCCCTCCAGGGACCCCCCCCCCACCCTCTCTGTGAACAAATGAGGATGAATTTGGCAGTGACGTCAGGGCAGGCAGCCCTGTGTTCCTGGTGCCTGGAGAGCAGGTGGCCGGTCCTCCTGGGCTCAGAGGTGCTGAGAGCCGAGGGCGAGAGGCAGGGTGGAGTTGTCCATGAGCCCCTCCCCAGCTTTCCAGACACCAGTTCTCCAGTGACAGGACTCCTGCGCTTGAGACACACTAGGGATGTCCCCGCCTTCCTGCAGGGGCTCCGCACCATGTCCGCCTCACCCCAGCCTGGCTCTTCTCTGAGAGGAGCAGCTGCTCTGACACTGGTTCCCTGGAGGAAGTAGCTGCTCAGCCAAGCCAAGCACAAGTCTGAGCGCACACGGGAGGGTGGTGTCTGGGGCCGTTACACTGTGCAGCGTCCCAGTGAGGGCTGTGTGCACAGAAGGGACGTGCAGGGCCTCCAGGCTCCACACTGGGGATGAGGAGTGAGAAACTTTGCACAGACCCCCTGCAGAGGACCCCATGTTGGGGCGTCGGTTTATGGACCCAGTTCATGCGGCTGATTGTACCCGAGTGCCTCGGTCTGATCCAACCGTGGGCTCGGGCTGGGCAGAGCCCAGCATCTGGGGACGGATCACGTGGGGCACACGTGCTGCTCTGAGGGGTCACACAGGTCCTAGGGGATCAACAGAGGAAGAGGAACAGTCACAGGCCGTCACTTTTAATTTGATTATTGAGGGATTTCACTTCTGTCCATTTTTCTAGCCTGACTGCACCTACCGGTACAAATGCAAGTAAAGTGGTTTTTATCGACCTTTATTTAGTGACAGTGTGTGTCCCTCGTTGCTGGGGGGCTGGGATCCGGACCAGGCCGGCCCCCGTCTGAATAGAGCAGGTGACTGCAGATGTGAGGAGCCGTGTGTCTGGTCCACAGTCAAAGTCACAGCCGCCCGCTGGGCGAGAACATTTGCTTTTGCACCTTGTCACACCTGGAGGAGGGGGCACCTGGATCTGCGTCCTCCTGAAGCCCATCACTGACTGGACCCCCCTCCGGAGAACTCATCCCCACTCCTATCACTGACCAGATAGACCTCCTCTCTCACAGTTCTTTCTAACGTGTGTTGTCTTTGTAAGCGACTTCCCAGACTCACGCTGTACTTGGGACCGTCAGTGATGGAGGGGACTGGTTTGTAATCAGGAGGCTTTCCTGAGTCACGGGACCTGCCGGAAGATAGGGCAGCAGACAGAGCCGTGAGATTGTTCCTGTGCGCAGTGCAAGTGTCGAACAGAATTAAGCAGTGGCAGCAATAACACTAACAGCGACAATCATACTCAGACTCAGCCTGGACGGCGGCCATTGTTCCCAGAGACACAGGCCCCTCCGGGGTGCCTGCCGCGTCCAGCGGCTTCCTGCTGGGAAACACCCTGAAGCCTTGTTCCTGTGGTTGATGGGATCATTTTTAGGGCAACGTGTTGCTCTTCTCTGCACATTTTCAAACATCTTTTCTTTCCTGATGCCCACGGAAGGTCATAATTGGTTACCAGATGCTATCCGAAAGCGTTGTCACCTTACACAGAGA